ACTGGTCAACTCCTAGCCTTGCTCAATCCGTCTGCACAGTACCTCAGTCATTCCAGTTTTTACATGGTTTACAGTAATACCACTGGCAGCATATTCTTACTTAGGTAAATTATCTCTGCGGTATATTTTGATCACCATATGGTGATTACTCTCTTTATGTTCTGTATATGTTCAATGGTTCAAGATTGTGGCAACATTTCTGCCTACAATGTAATTTACGAGTCGATAAAGCCTTAACTCCGAACTCCGATTCATATGAAATTCAAAACGGATATTTGACCGTAGATACATATCGGAGGTGAAATGAACATTTAAAATCGCGCCGCTGTCAGTTTTCCGCGTTAGTGCAAGGACCTGGGATCACTGTTTTTGACGATGTTAAGGTAATTGTCGTCAAGACTCGTGTTCAGCACATCAAAATGGTCGAGAAAAGGTGGAAACTTGGAGGCGAAAAACCTGGAAAATGCTTCAAAGCTTTGTTTGAATGGTTACATACTGTATTCTAGTTCAAGTTTCAACTAAATATAACCGACACTTCATTCCTGCTTAATTTTAAAATTTGTGCAAAACTCTTTAAATACTTTCTTCGTTATTCTTGTATGCATGATGTTCGGAGAACTTGAATGAGCAAACTGTCACTTAAAAACTCCTGCCTAACACTACTTCTTATTTGACTTGCAAGTCGCTGCTCTCGCACGCATTTCTGTTCTTCAGTAATTCCGTTGCAGAAACCAATTATGGCATGAATCATTGAGTTTTGCTTAATAGTTGTCCGTAGAACGGTTGATTAATATCAAAACCAAGAAAGTCTTTTCCTTGGCGTTCTTTCAAAAGCTACTTTCTTCAAAAATTCGTTAAGCATATAAAGAAAGCAGATTCAGATTTTCGCTTTATAAAAAGTTTTAAATATCTCTTCTTAGAGGGGCCACACATAATTTCTCGCTTGTGAACAATAATTTTTAATCCTATCAGAGGGCATGGACGCCTCAGGACAGTCAGTGAGCTGCACGAGGCTATGAGAGGCAGAACGAGACAGTGAAATTCTAAGAATTTCACACAACAAGCCAAACAGCCTCTCAGTAGCGAGGAATGCTAATGAAGGCGTATACCTTCCTTAACATTATCAATCTGTTAAAGAACTCTGGTAAAGTTAATGTCGGTGCCTGTCACCACTTATTGCTTATCTGCAAGTTTTTTAAGAGTTAAATCTCTCAACTTCCTTAATGCGAACAAAATATCTGTGTAACTTTTTAGCGAACATTTGTGCAAGAAACACGTATTACGTAGTGAAGAATGCTTACTATTGCACGTTTCGGAAGCAGGCGGAGGTAGATTTTCGGACTGCAAAGTTTTTTTTTTTAAATTTTGCGGTGTCTCTTGCACTTAGAAGAGCTAAGAGCAGACGTATAAGGTTATCAGTGCGTTTTTTCATAAAACAGTAATGTAATCAGAGAAGCTTTTTTCAAAATTATGAATGGTGAGAAGAGTTGCTTAGAAGCAACTGATAGGAACCAACAGGTATGCAGTTGACGTGCACAAAAATGACGGGCACAAGGAAGTTGGTTCACAAACGTTCACCTAAACTCGATACAATCACCTTTTACATAATGAGCTAGAGTTAAGGAACCGATGAGTGCAGAAGGGAAGTTCACCAGAACTGTCATAATTGTAAACATTTTTGCGAATAAGATCTCTAAAACAAGTTTCTTCAGAATTAGCAAGCATTTCCGTCATAGCTGAAAGATGTGCGCCGTCAGTACTCGCTTTCGTCTGAAAAATTAGGTGAGCGCTTAGCAATGTTCTTATTCTATACTTTTAATGTATTTCGAGCTGAATCATGCTACTTCAACAAATAGGGGGCTATGTTCAAGCCTTTGATAAGTGAAAGAAATGATACCATGAAAAGTATTTTTTCAATAGCTAGAAAATTACTTCCCCGATTTCTCCGATTATTTTTCGTTAAAAATTAGCCTAAAAACTTATCTAGCGTTATCACAGTGTAATACAGCAGTTTATGATACGAATTCTTTTTATTTAGATTTGGTAGTGGTTGAGAGGCTCAGAGAAAGAATGTTCACCAGAGCTCACTTTAAGCTGACTTTAAAAGGACTGCGAAACCGTGTAATTCAACTCCAGACATGTTCATCTACGGCCTCCTAGCGCTACAGGTTAGTGAACTTGCAGAATAATAATTTCATTCAGAGCAAATATCAACAGCAATCTTGGAAAAAGCATCTGCCTTTCTTTGAAAACGCAAGAATTTAACCACCACAGCTTTTGTCGTCTTTGATGCAGCGAATTAAACACATTATTACCAATAGATAAATAATTGAACCGGTCCACATTGAGCTTCTCGCTCTTTTTAACAGCTCGCTAAATAATATTTCACAGAGAAACTTCCAGAATTCTACCAAACGACTTGCTATTAGTAAGAAAATTTGAAAAGAGGGTCTGAAATATCAGAGCATGAAAGCCGAGTGGACTGTCAAGGCAAAATGTGCATTTCTTATTCATGCATGTTTCCGTTTACATACTGCTAGAAGTTGCAATCCCTTTACTTATAAGCGTATTTGAAGTAACTGGGTTCTCTATAAAAAAATTTTGAGA